GTACGTACGTACGTACGTACGTACGTATGTACGTACGTTCGTATGTCAGCATTTTTTTCGTTTTCGATATCTCAAGAACGGATTGAGATATCGCCCTCAACCAAAATTTTTTCGAAAGATATTATCATAATGAAGATCTGAAAGAAATTTGAACGAAATCGGTCAAGCCGTTTTTTTTTTATAAAAAAAAAAACGAATTAATTACAAACAATTTAATTAAAATACGTTCTAATCTAATCACAACAATGAAGTTACGGAATCAATAATAACGAAATATCATTATTCAAGACAGGGAATAACATATTATAATAACATATTATAATAAAAATTTGTTTATAACAAAATGAATTGTTATAAACAATCGATAAACAATAAAAAATAGTATTTACCAATTGACTGATGCAAGTACTCTATCAATTCGGTTTTCTCAGACGAAATACTGTTTCTTATGGGTTTATAAAATGACGAACTCTCAAACATTGTTTGTTATTTATTATTGTGCCGCGTTTTTTTCAAACTTTAGAAACGAATGTACTTTACAATAACTGTATTATCTAATGGGAAGTTAGTCGTATTAGCACCGACCAGTGTGCTCAGACCAATTTTTTTATTAGAAATGAAGAGATATTAGAAAGAATAGGAGAACAGAGGACTTTAAGGAAGTCAGTAAAAAACAGGCGAGATGGGTTGGTAGGACACCTTCTCAGGCATGAAGGTCTAGCAGAGACATATTAGGGACAGAAACGGGAGTTAGGAGGGGTAGAGGTAGACCTAGGTTAGATTATTGTTCGCAAATAGTTAAGTATGTGGGTTGTTCTATTAGTTTTACGGAAATGCGAAGTTTGGTTCAGGATAGGAAAGAGTGGAGGTACGTGTTCAACCAGTCTTAGGACTGACAACCTTATGATAATAATGATGATGAATATTACTAATAACGTCTTTATTAACAATAAATCACCTATAGCAGCTTGGTAGTGACTATTAGTTACAGGATCATATCGGTGAATACGTTTTTCGTAAATATCAACCATATACAAACTTTGTGTTGCTATGTCCCAATGTGGGCCTTCCCCCAAAAGAAAATTTTCTAGAATTCTTTCAACTTTTGGTGCCATTTTCTAGAATAATTAGCTTACAATCAGCTTTGCCTAAGCGGTACTTTCATTCTTATCAGATTTGATTTCAACAATTACATAAAAAAAATAGTACTCACTTGAATAAAACTCAACAAAAAATTGAACACAATTATTTTCTACGAAATCGCAAATGTTTCGCTTAAATATTCACATTAGATTTTCAGGTATTGTTCTCTTTGATCCGTTCTTATTTGTTGCTAAAATATCACTGATAAAATTATCCATGCTGATAAATGCTAGTCAAACCTCGCCTTATTATACAGATACTTTCGAAGAAGATAAATGGAGAACTTTGCGTAACGTAGTTGAAGGGATTCAACCACCTTTGTAGTTGGCAAATTTTGCCCCGTCTAATAAAATATAATGTCACTTATCTGGTTACGACTTTAAATGCGTATTCATATGTACATGGAAGCCGTGCGTAATTAATTCGTAACCTTGAGATGGCCTTAATTAATGCTTTTACTAATGTTTTCTTAAGGCATAGAATATTTTGACGATTTTCTAAATTAAACTTTAAATTGCACAAAACTTACTTAAACAAATAAGGCGCATTTTTCTTTTTATTCCACATATTTATTTAGTCTGTGCATACATATGTCGACTTTTTACTTTTCTTCATCATATTCAATATCCTATTTGTTAAAAATGTAAAGAAATATATCTCTTCAGAAATGAATGTGGATATATACATAAATGTATGTTTTTTATAGAAAAACATTAATAATTTCACAATATTACACATAATTATTATCGTCATTATAATCTACAATATTATTTACATTGTTATTTATAGCCTGGGAGCCGGTGACATTGAAAGTACCGTCGTCGCGGTATTGTAAAATTTTTAAAAAAACTGATATTTGACAATTATACCAACAAATTGGTCTTGGTGCGCGTTAATTTACTTAGCCAAACGTGTATTAAAAAAAATAATTTTTAATAAAAAACCATCGCGAATTTTAAAGCAAATTTGTTAACTTAAAAGAAAACAAAAAAAATGCTAGAAAAAGAACGCGCCAGGATGTTCCTTCACTCTCCTGGCTGCACCAACGGTGGTAGGTCAGCATTCCATGCTGCCGTGCATATGGCTTTAAAACTTTTAAATACTTCAAGGATATTTTTCAATCATTTTTTCTTGTAGTTTTATACAATTTTTAAGTAACTGAAAAGAGCAGTTTTCGATGTTGTTTTCCCTCGGTCAATAATTGAGAGTTCGACAGACAAATCGTTGTTATGATAATGATAAATGGGCACATTTAAGATTTAAAACTTGTTTTCAGGACACTGTGGCTCTGTGGCATTCTTATTTAAGAACATGCATTTATGTTTTATGATTTATGTGAAATAATTTTTACCAAATTTTTTTGATAATTACTAGGGAAGTTCCAGCTTCCTAACTGGGAGGGTTTGAGTTCTCTCTGGTCCCCACCTGGTTGTATACATTTAATATGAAGTGTACCTACATATCAGACAAACAGCGACCTTTCGATCTTGTTTTCCACTCTAACATTTTATCATTAACAGCCATTTTCTGATTTGATTATGTTTTATCGTTAATTTATAATTAAATAGGGTTTTAACGTATAGCTTTAATGGCTGTGACGTAGACACTTAATACTGATGCCACGTCAATTATGTTGTTTAAGATATTTAATTCTGTATGTGGTTGTTTTTAATAATCGTCACAGATACCTTGCAATTAAGAGAATTAAAGAATTTTCATATTTCAATTATTTAGTTTGGTAACGTAAACTAAATTCTCGTTTAATGGAGAAAATATTATTTTTTTATTTTAAATTAGATAATGATGTTCCTAATTCATATGGAGTAAAAAAAATTAAACTGAATTGTATTACACGTAGTTGTTTGAAGAAAACATGAAAAACAATTACTGGTTTATTATATTAAATTATTTATTATGTTGAATATAATTAAAAAGAGGAATTTTAATTTGTATTTGTGAAGCTTGTGTAGGTTATGCCTGATTCTTCTGAAGTATAAAATTGAAAGAGTTTTTGACAAAAATCTCTAAATCGTAAGATATACAGGATGAGTCTTTATCATAGGCTATGAACATATTTGTATTAGGTCTTTATTCTGTTACGCGAGCAACACGCTGTTATTACAGTTATTAATGTGTAATGCATATATATATAAAGTAAAAATAAAAGTCAATTATTTAATAAAATNCATAATACATTATCATTATTGTTTGCTATATATTGTTAACTAACAAAAAGAAAAAAAATATATAATATGTATAACAACATATGGAAGAAAAATAATCATTAATTACCTACTTAATGTTAAACAAAATAAGATCATATAATTTTACCAAATCAATTTCTTCATCATCTTCTACAAGATATTTAGGTAAAAATTCTAATCTTATGATTAGTAGATACTAAATGTTAATCAAGTTGTGATTTATTAAATTACTTTATTATTTTGCAGGCTTTCAAGGGTATGATTTCAGGATTCTGTTAATTTGTGTGTTGTCGATGTTTCGTTAGTGATCTCATGGAACGTCCTCAAAATTCTTCACTATTTCGATGTATTGACGCGTTGTAAAGCCAGAATCTTTTCAAATTTCCCTCGAAAAACCATCATTACCATAGAAATAAATACTGTTTCTATTGCCCATTGTCAATCACAGTCCTTATTTATGTCATGTCTATGTCCTATATCTATGACATACTCTGTCATATTATTTATGTCTGTCATAGTCTATGGATCTACAAAAAGTGTCATGGTGGAATATCAAGGGTCAAGGGATGATTGAAAGAGGTTATCGTTTTAGTAGACTGCTTTTAGGTTAGGTTAAGTAAATATATAAAAACAGATATTAATTATAAATTTAATTATGGAAAAAATGGAAGTGGATAATTATAACTCTGTATTGGATGAATTACTGCAATCAAATAAAGATGACAAAAATCTCAATAACTCTTGCATAAAAGTTAGCAAAGGTGAATTTTAAAACTTGCTGTATATTGTGTACTATATATGTTATCTTTTAGATATTTGTTCTTCAAAATTAACAGTAGTTGATTTAGTAGAACAATTAAGAGTTCTTCTAATCGATACATCATCAGAAAAACGAGATTATGGTCTGTTAATATTAACAAAAGTATTGAATAATCTTCCAACAAATTTTTTAAATTCTGATCAAATAAAGTTTATCAGTTCATTTTACGCCGATAGGCTAAAGGATCATCATCAAGTAAAAAGTATTTAAAATTAGAAACAAATTATTACTGTTAGATGTATTTTAGGTTGTTCCAACAGCTTTACAAGGTATTCTTGTACTGTTTAAGTTTGATAATATTGTTGAAGGATGCATTACACAAATTTTGCAGTCACTTTTTCAAAACATTTCATGCCAACAACAACAACTACATGATCGATATTCCATCTATCAAATTTTTGAAAAATCATTACAGATTAGGACAACAGGTATATAGTATATTGAAAAAGAAAGGATTGGGGTCAATAATAGTATGAATATGGCTCCTACAACAGAATGTATGAGTTCAATAAGTTTTGTTTATTTAATGATCAGGCATAAAAAGTAAGTTCTATAGGACTCCACATAGGTATAGAATTAAATTATATACTAATGTTAAGTATATAAATGACATGATAAACATTTAAAATCTAAATAACTTCTACCTAGTAAAGATTTCATTCATGCAAATTAGTGACATACAGTCATAAAACTGTGATTCAGGATTTTTATTATAGTAGTTTTCTCAATTCATGCAAGTGCCAGTAAATTCTACAAAAGGAAGTTAGTCTGTGTATAAACTGGACTAAACACAAGAGGAAATTTATGTACTAATAAAAAAAAATAAACTTGAAACTAATTAGTTACTGTTATGGGGCCATTTTCATACACTTATCGGCCCTAGCCCTTTACAAATAGTATTAAACTCCTATTTATTTTGCGTTTTAGAAGTACTAGCTATGAGCTTCGATTTTGTGTATGGAGTTATCACAGCTATAGATGGAGAAAGGGATCCTAGAAATTTGCTTTATCTGTTTTCATGGTTACCTAAGTTCATAAAGTTGGTTAACTTGGGACATTTGACTGAAGAAATGTTTGAAGTTGTTGCATGTTACTTCCCTGTTGATTTTAAAGCACCTGGTGACAATATAAATGTACTAGCAAAGTATTTTTTTTTTTCAGAAATTGTAGTTATTATTTTTTGTTTTAGGGCATCAGCAGAGATACCCTGGCTCAAGCTTTATGTCCTTGTTTGTGTTGCATTGAAAGTTTTGCACAGTTTTGTTTACCATTAGCTATAGAGAAGCTATCGTCTTCCTTAAAAACAGCTCAATTGGATTCATTAGATCTCCTGGTATTATAATTAAGAACAATTGCAACAACAAGGTATATGTATTTTTTATTTCAGATTGAAAGTTGTCGAATGTTCTCATCAGACAGTTTTGCACAACATTCTGTTGAAATATGGTCTTTACTTGAGAAAGAAGTTTTGAATGGTACAGACGCACAAATTGTAAACAAATGTTTGGAAACACTAACACATGTTGTAAATAAACTTTCTCAATCTGCTACTACTACCGATTGCTTTGTACAAACAGTGGAAGACATCACAGATACTGTAAAAGGGAATTTAAGACCTGATACTCGATTGTTTCAACCATCAGTAAAAATATTACTTTATTTAGCTAAAGCTTCTGAGAAATCCGTTGATTATGTTATAAAAAACGTCCTTCCTCAACTAGTGAATACTTATAATATCACTTCTACCCCCTTGCATCAATCTTTCTTGTTAGAAAGCATGGTTGATTTTACCAAAGTTTATGTTGAAGTGACTGGAAACATTGACATTAAGGGGACAAAAGAGCTCTCTTTTATACCCAATTTATGTCTTAAGGCGTCGATTCACGAGGATCCAAACATTAGAAAAGTTGGATTAGATAGTATTGGAGAAATAGCTGAATCAATTCCAAAATACCTAAGAGAAAATGTTTACACAAACTTAAAAATCCATTTAACAGTTAATCAACACGAAAAAACTCGTGAAAGTGCGATTAAATGTTTCAAAAATTATTGTAAATTATTTCCCTTGGAGGTAGAACAAGAAATTTTGGATAAGATTTCCACCAGTGATAACACTTCCTTAGATCTGTTCTTAGATGCCCTATGTGAAGTTGGATCTAATGCAAAGTTGACTGAGAAAATCTTGAAAATATTCATTAATTCTTGTACAAATTGCAACGATTTAATAAGATTTTCAGTAGTTTTAAAGAACTTGAAAAAGTTTCTGCTTCTCAGTGGGGGGAACGAAAGCATTTACGCGTTTCTGTTAAGTGATGGGGGACTAATAAATTTTATTATAGATTTGCTTTGTAGAAAGTTTGATGAAACGAGTGTGCAGAAATTTGAAACCCTTTTAAAGAATGTTATCGACGTATTAGAAAATATTGTAGCGGCGCAAGACACTGAAGTACAAAGAGCTATTTTAGAAAAATATTTGAACCCAGCCATTGTTACTTTTAGAGATACTAAAAATTCGGTCTATGTCATCTTATTTCATGGATTGTTATGTAGATTGAAAAAGGATTTAGCAGGGGATTATGGACTTATCGGTGACCTATGTGAAGCAACATTACAAACTGACAACGATTTTGTTTTCGAATTTGGAGCACGATTAATTGCTAATTTAATTAATAAATTAGATGATGGTGAGTCTTCTTTATTTTCTTATACCTATTAATATATCCAAAACTTTATTTTAATTTAATTATTATGGAACTATTGTTGTTTGATATTTAGTTTTTTTTATGATTAAAAAATAGTGCTACGGGAAGCTTTACAAAAATAACAAATGCATTATCTGACAGTGAATAAAATAATTAGTATCGTTAGATTTAAAATATTTGTGTTGGATGCATTTTTTTATTTAACTATATTACAAATCAACATAATATTATAAATGAAGCGTTTTACACTCTTCAGGTTTCTCATTAAATAATACAGTAAATATGAAATTGGGCTTTTGTATGTCATATACTTATTTTTGTAGAAAAAGCCGTTAAATATAATCTCAAAGTTATTGAAAGTTGCATAGAGGTTGAAAAAATTTTCCATAAACGCAATGTGATACTGTTTTCATGGGTAATTAAGGCTCTAATTATGAGAGGACACGAATATGGGTCTTTATACACTAATAAGGTACCAATTATAGTAAAATGAATATGATGGTATTTTTAATAATTCGTATTGCAGCTCATAAATATGTTAGAATCATGCAAGGATGCCCCATTAGGTTTTGAATTGATTATGAGTGATAGCTATAATTGTTTAAGTAGCGAAAGTAATTGCAACAGAAGGTGTGAATTGTATTTTTTTTTTTAATATTATTTGTAATAAGTTTTATGTTCATAGGCTGTTATATCGACAAAAATTCTTTACGGATGTTATAAAACAACTGTGCAAGGAGGAAAAGCAACAATATTTATTAGCAGTGGGATATCTCTTAAAAGAAAGTCCTAAACAGGTCGTTTTAATGCATTTTAAGAAGGTTTGTGACAGAAGTAAAAATTCATGGTTATTTTATTAACAAAATGATTTTTAGTTATTGAAAAGTATAGTGTTATGTTTGGAAAAAATTGATGATTCCGAGATTTTGTGTAGCATTTTAGGTATATTATTTAGTTTTCTAGAAAGTAAGGAAACTATATTTGAGGACTACATAGATGAGCTTGTGCCAAGATTTCTTAGTTTATCACGATTCCAAAAATCAATGGTACGTATTGAAAAAGATACAAAATAATCTTAACTAGAGAATTCTACATGCAATACAACCGTCTATTTTGACCACCTCTTATAAACTCGAATCTTAGCTGGTTATAGATTCCGGCCGTGAAAGCCTATAATCTTATATTGTAGAATCATTTAATTAAGAATGCAAAATTTACTAAATTCTACTTTATTTTCAAATTTTTAGAAAGTACGAATAAAGGCATTGCAATGTTTACAAGCATATGCCATTGGCTTTACTTTACACAAATTGCTACATCAAAAGCAACCTGTTGTTCACGAGTTGGAGCAATGTTTGGATGATCCGAAACGAATGGTACGAAAGGAGGCTGTCTTAGCAAGAAATTGTTGGTTTCTATTAGATACACCCACGTGAATTAATACAGACTTACATTTGTTGTTTTTATTATAATTTTGCAGTTAAAACTGAGGGTTTAAAATGTAAATAATTTAACAAACTAAATTTTTACAATCTCTTCTTGTTTTCATTTAAAAATATAAAGTTTCTGCCCTAATAAACATGATAATTACAAAATTGTATAAGTAATTATGGATGTAAAAGTTTATAAATTCACTGTCAGAAAATTTAGATGAAAGTGCTCTTGGTGGAAAAAGGAATTAATGGAATGGCTTTGAAGAACATAAAAAAAGTGTTTGGCGGTATAGGTAAAGGGGGAAGTTCAGGGCTCGAGGTGAAAAAACGAATGTTGGAAAAAACCCGTCCAAGTTAGAGGGGGGGGAGGACAAAGAAACGGGGTAATTTACCTCAATTGGAATTTTCAAAGAAATGTTGATGACAAAAATTGTTCAGATGGTTCTCTTATGAAACAGCACAAACGAAACAAATAAATAAAAAAGATAATTAGAAATTAAATTTATCTGCTACAGAAGATCTTATATTAAAATAGGGAATAAGTGTTTGTAAAAGATTTTGATTGAACTTGTAGTTTGGACACAATCAGCACATTACGAATTTTTTGAACCACTTGAGCTGAAAGAAAAAATATTGAAACTGTCGTCACGACTCTACATGCCCTTAGATTTTTGGAAACGATACCTTCCTTTTTCAATATTTAAACACCCTGTATAGCAGATTCAATTTACGTGCTATAAACGTTCTTATATTAAAATACGGAACTAGCGTTTGAAGTTTTTTGATTAAACTTATACTTTGGTCACAATGAACATGGTGCGTACTTTTTGGGTCACCCTGTATATTTCGTCAATTATTTTTATTTGTCTTATTTTGCAATTTGCAGACAATTAAATTCAAATGATTTGTTTTAACAAAGAGTGGGAGAAAATTAATATTTACGGAGTTGTGGATATCAGTAAACCATTTTAATTATAAAACGTAAAAGGATAAGAAAAGTCAGATGCGTACTCAAATTATAATATTTGTCTAGTAGAGGCCAATGGTCAATGAAATGTAATTTCAAGGACACGGAAAGTAGATTTTATTTTACAATAATAATAATAATACAAGCAAACATTCGCTTTTTGAGTATTTAAAGAACAGAACGTTTGAGGATGAGTCATCTCTTAGATAAGCATGGATAAGCATTTCTTCTTTCGCGGTCTACAGCCGTTATTCGGAACAAGTTTACGGAGTAGGGGATCGAAGACGTAAGGGGATATTCAACAGGTACCTGTTGACTAAATGATGAAGAAAAGTGGAGAGGCTATTTTAAACGTATGCCGATTGGTTTAAATGGGTTTCAAATTTGCCTAACTTCCAATCCAAACGTTTGTTTTGAAATTTCAAAGATTTGTTGTTGAGAATTATGTACAGTTGCGGGAGGAACTAAGAGTATTTAAAATTCAATCGTATAATAATTTTACTAATGGAAACAAAAAATTATACGCAATGAACTCATTAAAACATTGGATTTTTAGAAAGTACATATTACCCAATCGTAAAACTTAAATTGATCTTTTGTGCGAAAATATGATGCATGTATGCAGGTCTATATGTTCATATCCCCTCTTTTTTTGTATCCGCATGGCATTCATTTGTTGTGTCGGTGAACGAGGTACGAGAATTCACATGTTGAGGAGGAAGGGTCAGAAAACAACGTTTTACTAAGTCTGTAAAATTAGAGGTTTTCCAAGGGTACACTGGCTTTTCAAAATCCACCAAATGTGTGATGTGATTTGAGAATGAAAAGTGAAATTTTTAATGAAAATATCAGGTTAGTTGTGTCTTTTTGATAATTTACATTTACATCAACTTGCTGTCTGCCGTTGTCTGTTTTAAATTTTTTACAATACATATACTGAATTTATTATAGGTACTTATTAGTTATTATACATGTAAAAACATCTATCGAAAATTCAGTTATTTTTATATTCAATGATTAGATAAAACACTATTAAATTATCTTCTTGAATCTCAATAAATAGTATCATATCATTTATTGTGATTAATACATTCTGTAAAATAGTTTCAACCGAGAGGTTAAAAAACCATTAAAAAAAGAATTAGTAATTTATGTAGTATTTAGGATTATTATAAAAAAAGTCAGTGGCGGACCTTCAAAAGTAAATTAAGGATATTTTTTAAAATTTGCGTATATTCGCATAATCGCATCTTTTTATAAAAAATATAAATATTTACAAAAATTTTAATGTTTAGTGAATACATTTTGGAATTAGACACTGTCTTATAAAAATCATTACCTATTCTTTCTTGACATGATTTAATAGAAATACACTCGCAAATCGATTTAATTAATAGGTACCTACTACAGTTAATTTATTTGTGCTTAGGATGTGTGAAGAAAGTACTCAACCTTTACTAACAGACTCTCAGCAGAGCGAAATATTTCGGGATATCGATTTTGCTGCCCTTAGTCCAAACACGATGTAAGAATGAATCGCTGTACTTATCAATGAGAGATTTTTTAAAGGGGTTTTCTTAATTTTTCATTTCAGTTCAAATCTACTACCAGATTATACTAGTGTTAATGTTAACGATACCCACTTTGACGTAAGTTAGCTTTTTTTTACTTAACCCGGTATGTTATTATTTATTTTTAGTTTACCTAGAAGTGGCGATACGGTAATACATATATATGTGTATATATTAAACAATGTTTACTAGGTAAATCCTCAGCAAAATTTACAAGGTTCCTTTGTATACGTGCTCAATAATGATAGAAATATATCTTATCACGAGGATATAAAGCAAGAAAATGGGTATTCTGAATCTCTAACACCTTCACCGCCAACTGAGCCCGTCCTCCAGTTACCACCAGTTCCTCCACCCCAAACAACGTCGTCAATCATTAGTAACGAAGATTACCCCGGACCCTTAAATTTTGATGTGTTCATTAACCCTCACCTTGTTCCCGGGAATAAAACATGGGTGGTAACTACAACTTGAATCAAATCTTTATGTTAAGTGCGATATTAATATTAGATGCTCTGGTTTTTAGTATTCCGAAAAACTGAGAAAGATTTACATAGGCATGGGTATTTCTTTTCCGGTGGATTTTCGTTGCAATCCAGGGAATCAGGTGTTGTTTGTGCGAGCAACTCCCCTTTACAGTGTCTCTCAATTTGCTCAAGAACCGGTAATTCGATGCATTGCACATGCGCAAAGGTCTGATGGTTCAAATCAGGGTTTGTATTTATGTTAATAAATATTTTTATGCAATTTTTCATGCTTTATCTTATTTGATTTGAATATAGGTGGCATTCGTTTGTGTGATTTGCATATGTTGTAAAGATTATATATACACTTTAAGAAGTAATGAAATTCAGGAAGTGATACTACACCTGATTATTTAAATTTTAGTAATGTAAAAATAATTTAGGAATTTTACTTCTCGCCAATCTTTTATATGGGGAGCACTATCAAAAACTTGCCAGCTTACACATATGTAACTGTAATACCGTGTGTAAAAGAATCATCATCATCATCATCATCATAAGGTCGTCAGTCCTAAGACTGGCTGGACACGCAACTCCACTCTTTCCTATCCTGAGTTAATCTTCGCATTTCCCTTACCTAGAGCAACCCATATCCTTAACTATTTGCGAACATTAATCTAATCTAGGTCTACCTTCACCCCTTCTAACTTCCGTTTCTGACCATAATTTGTCTCTGACTAGACCTTCATGCCTGAGAAGGTGTCCTACTAACCTATCTCGCCTATTTCTTATTGACTTCCATAGAGTTATCTGTTCTCTTATTTTTTCTAATACTTCTTCATTTCTAACCTTCTCTATCCACGGTGTCCTCATCATTCGCCTGTAACACCACATTTCGAACGCTTCTAACTTTTTCTTTTCCGCCGCGCCCACTGTCCATGTTTCGCACCCGTACAGCGCCGTGATTCAAACATACACCTTTAACAACCTTTTCGAATTTCTAAATTAACCGTTCGTGAGCATAGAAGTGACTTCCTTTTATTGAAGGTGACTCGACCCTGCGCTATCATAATCCTATTCAAAAACAATGTGTATTTACAAATGAACTCATTTTGTTGTTTTTTTTAATCGTTTTTCTGTGTTACTTTACAAGTGGCTGTTAATGAGAGCTAAGCTAATATGATACAATCAGAAATTATAAAAGTTTCTTTTAGGTTTACCTGCTCATGTTTGGTCTCATATAATTCGGTGCCATAGTTCAGGGGCTGTATATCAAGGAAACGTAGAACAAAAAGAACGTTTGAGTGTTGTTGTACCCTTGGAAAAACCTCAGACTGGAAGTGATACAGTCAGAATTAACTATCAGTTCGTTTGCAAAAACTCATGTCCTTCAGGAATGAATAGGAGACCAATGGAATTGGTTTTCACATTAGAAGATTATCAGTAAAAATTAAATTGAAGTAATTATATATGTTCTACTTATGTGTTACCTTTTTAATAGGGGAAACGTGTTAGGACGCACAAAAGTTAATATCAGAGTCTGTTCATCTCCTAAAAGGGATAGGGAAAAAGAAGAGCGAGAAAGGATGGCTAATGGAGAACTCCCTAGTTCAAAAAAGAGGAAGGAAAACCCTAAAAAGCCTACAAACAATAAAGACGGAAGTGATATTAAAATACATGAAATAACGGTAAACACATTTGAATAGTTTTAATAAAAACATTGTTTGCAATATTGCCCATCGGTGAGGTAAATTAAAGGGTATTAAAAAAATATATTTGGATAACTCTTGTTTTATATGCTGTTTGTTAAGATGTTTAAACAGTAACTTATTGTTGCTAAAAGAAAAAAAAATCACATTGCTAAAGGTTCCTTTTGTAATAGTAATCACCACAAATAATCAATAATTCTTTTGTGAGCATATTAAAGCCCATTTATAATAAAATAATGTTGGGCGTTTTTAGATTCCTGTTGCTGGAACCCATAATGTCAATAATATTCTAAAATATGCCTACGACATAATGTCGGGCGATCAAAACCGATTCAACGTCCAAGAACCTTTTCAAGAATGCATGACCAAAATTACGAATATGATGGGTAAGGAAATCAGATTAATTAGGCTGTCGGATAATAATAACGTATTTTTTTAGGCAAGCAAGAATAATTCTGATTTTTTGCATGATATCAACATTTTGTATTTTTTTACTAAACAGTTATACTATTTAGGATATAATACGTTTTCGTGGAAAGGGTCTAGCCGAAAATTGCACTGACGTCTGTTAACGTTCACTATAATCCATAATTTTGAAAAAATATATATGATATAGTGCTAAACAATATCTTCCATTTTGCGTTGGTTTTATCCATCTATTACATTTTTTCAAAAAAAAAACTTGAAATTTAGGGTTATTATCCTGTACTTCTTTTATAAGTGCAATTAGACCTCGACAATTTATTGTATGAATGCTTCGGATCATAAGTAATCCATAAAAAATTACTGAACAAATAAATGTCGGTGCAATTTTCATATGCTTAAACGGCTAGACGACCCTTTCGTTGCCATACTTTATGCTTTTTATTATGTGGTATATTTTTTATCGTATAAAAAAGGGCNGACAAACTTGTACGTGTCTATTTAGTTTTAAGTTTTTATAGTTTGTATTCATATTATTTCCTATTATACAAGTATATTTTTTAAGAATCATTAGAATTATTTTTCCAATGACTTTATACTGATTTTTGATTAAAAATTGTTAAAAAGTCGCATTCAGTAATCACAAATGTAAACATAATGACAAATGTAACTTTTAAATGAATTATTCAAAATGAATAAATTAACGAAAATCTTAAACAAAAAAGAATATCTAAAGTGATTATTTGCAGATTGTAGCACTTACTTAAATTATAGTTTATAAGCGAATTTAAAGCATTTGTTAACGATTACACGTTAGATGTGGTGATATTTGTTCGTATTCATTTAAAAGTTCAATTATTAGTGGATAAGATGCAGACCTCTATACAATATAATGTGCGAACCATTTGTGGTACTTTATGCTTAATAAATCAGTTTTTTTATTAATTGGTGTTTTACATTCCTTTTTACAAAGCTATACAAACAGAAATAAAAGCAGAAAACAGTTTTCATATCTATCGGTATGCACTATTATTTATACGTTTTTTATACAAATATAAAACTGAAAACTTTCTAGTAAACATAAATCTGAGTACGAAACGTTTTACAGTACGTCACTTATTCTATATAAACAATGATAAGTTAACTATGAGACCCATGGGGTTTTCCCGGTAACTCGTTTAAGAATTTTTTTGTCGGAAATCTTAAACAAATGGTGCGCGAGTTTAGTTTTATCACAATCAGTATAAGCTTATTATATTGTTAATAGCTGATCTTTTAAATTAAATTGGAGGCTTTGTCGACCTCTATTTTCAAAAACGAACCGGCATGATAATAAAATTACGTTAAAAAGTGTAAAATTAATGTAAATCGAAGACATCTAAGTCTAGAAGAAAGGGTAAGACGCCTTAAACAATTGTGACTGGACAAAGGTTTGAAGTGGGCTCAATCGATGGCCCGTGGTGTTGTAGTAGATCTAAAAATCGAAGCACATAATTTTGTCTAAAGTTGGAAAAGGTCACTTTTCTACAGAATGTATAATAGGAGTGTGCTCCTTGATCATCAATATTTTTTAACCGAACTTCCATAATACAAGAAAGATACAAGGTCAGTTTTGGTTAAAGCAGTTTGCGTACCAACACCTACGATTGATCTAGAGAGCAATAAACTTTGATTATTTTCGTTGTGAAAACGATCTGGTATGTTTCAAATACATTAGTAAATTTAAGGCATTATAAATAGTCCCTACCACTAGTAAGCGAATATTAAGACTAGACTAGACACCGAGACACTAGACACCGAGAATATTGAAATTTCCGAAAATGAAGAATCCAATTGAATGAGACATCCCAAACTAACCCGAAATAATCCAAATATTAAAAAAAAACATTTACGGTTAAAAATACAAAATATGTATATTCGATCACTTTACTAGCTGTAAATAAATTCAATTTTAATGTTTTCTTTCCTAAAAAACAATTTTTATAACGCCGTAAGTGAGTATTGAAAACTTTATATTCTGGTTCAGGGTGCTTGAAAAGCAGATTTTTATGTAATTATTTTGAGAAAAATCAAAATTAAAATTTGTTACCATCAATTATTCGCGCCCTATTGGTGGATCACATTAAAAGATATTTTCAAAGTTAATTACATTGTACATTGTACTTGTCGATTCCACTCACTTTCCATGCTGAAACCACAAAATTTCCCCAAATTTTGGCGCCCCCTTGCGACTATACTAGGTGTTGGCACGTAAATTTCTAAAACTGACCTTAAATAAATAGAAATCTACCCTGAATGTTTGGTTTAAAAATATTGGCGAAATCGCTGTCATCAAGATGTTCAAGGGCCACCTGGTGATTGGGGTGGGAACCTGCCGGTTTGGGGTGATCCCCAAATAAAACACGACATTGCATTTCTATATACGTCTCTCTTATCTGGTCATACTTCCATAACACATGTAATGCTACAGAAAAATGATCTTTACCTACTTTACACAAAAATGTACCCATCGATGTTCAGAATATTATAGCATACTTAGTATAAAACCTTGGACCATACAATTGCTTACGACATCTTATCCTTTTGATAAGAAATGGAATTATCATTTGTCTACTCAATACTTGGAAGAACCGCATGGATCCCTTCGAAAAATGACCATTTGTATGTGTATGGTCAAAAGTATTTAAAAGCGTCCTGGGTTGCGAAATGAACGAAGGGCGGACCTTATTATATTCACATTGTACTCTGCTGTTAAGCATGTAAACGATGACTGCAAGGCGTTAATGTTTTTAGTGAATAATAGAAACTAATAAACAGACCCATTTTGTCATTGCGCAATCCAAAGTCATAGCCTTAGAGATTCTAAATTACTTCTACCACCATTAAAAGAGAAGAGTTCCTTTAAGGATGGTGCCTGTTGGTCCACGAGAGGTCTATTACAGGATAGCGACTGACACTGAATTAAGTATATTAAATTTCTTAATTTTTCCTGTATGCAATTAAAATGTCCTGCGATTTACTTAAAAACGATTTACGTTGGTCAAATAGGACATACTTTTCAAAAAAGAATTAATGAGCACAAAAATCTTTTGATTACAAAACAAGTGTCAAATTATGCAAAACATCTTAACGTTTAAAATCAGAAATTTAATGAAAATTAAACAAATCAACAAAAATTTTGGAAATTTTACACGTTATCAGTTCTCCCTTTCAGAATTGCTGAAAATATAAGAATACAAATCAATTTCTGAGTGTCCAATTAGATCTTAATAGCTCGCCCTTTTATTAACCTCTTCTTTAATTTATAAGTTTGAAGAAGCCTTAATAAGACGAAACAATTTAGGAGTAAGTAGTAGGAATTTATTTATAAAGTGAATATAATTTCTATCAAGTAAATACCGTTGATCTTATTAATAAACTAAATTAATTTAGTTTTCCAAACATTAATAAATCTCTTAACAATTACAAATTTTCTGGGTCCGTCGATACCCTGTATTAATTGTTCCTCTTATCTGGCATTTCAACCAGACTTTCCCCTATCCGCCACCCGGGGACGCGCCCGATGGGGGTTGCAGGCTCCCCTCACGGGAAAAATGTGTGTTATACGGTATATTTTTACCCCGTGTGCTTACTAAAGGGTTGTTTACTGTGGGACCCACACCACAATACATGAATAAAAGTTGTTCAATATAAAAAATTTATGCAAATAATCAACCTGCATTTTACAAAAGAAATTGGAAATCGTTTAAAAAACTAAAAGACATGGAACTGAAATAATTTGTTTTTAATGGTATTATGCATGTTCTATTAATTTATTGAATTAATTCATTTAAATAAAATTGAAGTGCCTGCTTATAATATCGAAAAAACTGCCTTTTTTAAGTTGATATTGTTATTTGTACTTAAAACATATTAAGACATATACTCTTAAAATTTTTTTACAAAATCTCTACACGGGACAATCTGCACCGATTTCAAGCAGATTTGCAAATACGAAGAAGGAATTGTTAAGAGTGAAATATATGGGCTATTTTTTAATAGTAGCTACTTGATATTTAGTAACTTTTACAAAGTTTCAGTATTTAAGAAAAATGTACGATTCTCATAAAAATTGTAACCGGAAAACCTAATAACAAAATAATAAATTGTGACAAAGTATATGCGCTACACTAAAACTATGAATATATTCACCTAACTAAAATAACAACTATTTGCATAATGTTAACATTTTTAGTATACTTAACTAAAAGCATTAATAGATATAGTGGGACGTCCATTAAATACGTAAGGTTCTTATTTTAATTTGGACCTCTCCCCCTTTTTGTGAGATTTGGTAAGATGTGATAGAATCTCCCTCTTCCTTTCACGTGAAATTAACCCGGAAAAACAGGACATCCCGAAAAAAGTAGAAAAAAATGATTGCTTTATCATCTGTGCCTATACAATAAGTATCACGTAAGATTTTTCAAAGACCCCCCGCTCCCTTTAAATGTTATTTGATAAGATTCTGCTGTATATTTCCCCTACTCCCATTTTGAGCACACGTAATTAATGGATGTCCCCTAACTAATACTCTACTACTAAAATTTCTTTCTATAAAGCGAAAAAAAAAATATTAATTACTATTATTTATA